TAAATATACATCTAATAATAGGTAATTTGTAGTTATATTATTAATATTAATAAAAACTAATATCACAATTTTAAATAATATAACTTTATGGTTTTAAATCATATTATTATACAGAAAAAAAATATTATCATAACAATTGAATATAACTTTCATAAAGATTAGTTATATTAAATATTATATAAAAATAAAACCAAAATTATTATCTAGTCATCATCAAATAATTTTTAATATTACTTAAATTAAGCAGTTATTTCAACTAAATATTGACTTTTTGTATAAATCCCGGTATAAATCAAAATTGTTGTACCATTTTGGAAGAGGAAGATATAAGGAGGGTAGTGGTTGAAGCTACTTTATATACACTTAAAATAATTTAAACAATACCTTAATTTTCAGTAAATTGAAAACAGAATAAATGAGCCATACTATACTTATAACTAATAATTATTCTAATAAAAATTAAATTAAAAAAATAACAAAACCTTGGAAATTATTGCATTTGCAACTTTTTTTTCTTTTATCCATATTCATTCTTAAGTTATAAATTTATTTCATGCAAGTACGAATTAAAATTAAAAATTAGTGCAACTATAAATAATTTTTTCAATTTTTTCAATTTCATTGTTATTTTATCGATTTTCCAAATGTATAATTTAATTTTAGATACTTTTAAGTATTATTCACATGATTTAATTTTTTTTTTTTTTAAGAAACACAATATTGATGAAGCTATATCAGATTTTAATACATATCAGAATAATATAATAATAAAAAATAATAACTGGTGGTTATTTCAGGCTTAAACTGTGATGTCAGTAGTAAAAATATTATTTCATAAGACAATGCATGAATCGCATAAAGTAAATTTTTCATAAGAAAATTTGTGTAGACAGCTTAAAGAAATCATTTATCAAGCAGCACAATAATTTTTAAAGTAGACCCACAAATGTGTATTAAAAATAAAATAAAACATTTTTAAATGTTGATAGCTTAGTTTGTAATCTCCTGGAATATCAGACTAAAACAACTATTCCAATATAAATATGAATTTTTAATTTGAAATATTTTGTAAAAAAAATTCACATTTTTAATATGATAGTCTAGAATAATAGTCATAATGAAAAATACTTGTATAATTTTTTTTTCAATTAGTTATTTTGGTAAGTACAAATGTTTAATGCAATATTGGTTATTTTTACCGCAATATTGCAATCAATTTTAATGATTTTTAATGAAAAACTTCTGAGTCCTACTTATAACATAATAATATTTTTTATTATTTTTCTTTAAAGCATTTAGCAATAATTGTTAATTTTAATAATTAATATACGTCCTTAATTTATTATAAGTATAAAATATAAGGGTTGATTTGTACATAAAGATGGAAATATAATAAATATACTTTTAAAACCATCTTGAAGGAAAAAACAAAAGATTGTTTAAATTAATTTGTTATTTTGCTGTTAAATAAAATACTTTTTACAAAAATTTAAACTATAAATAATTACTTGGTACTTTTACTAAGGTACATAGTACATAATTAAAGTGTTTTTTCAAGTTATTATTAATTTAAAATTCTGTAAGAATATTTTTTTCAATATAAAACTTTATCCTTTGCTTTTTATATATTTAAAGTACATATTTTATTTCTGTACTATAGTGTTACAAAAATAAAAATTATTCATCATGTTAATAAACAAAAAAAAGCTGAAAATTATTTTTTAGAGAAACCTACATAATTTATAATAACTATAAAATCTAACAAATAAGAATAAGCAATAAAAATTTGTTTTAAATTAATTTTGTCGTCAAAATGCAATACTATAGTTGTGTCATTAATTGTGATTGACGACAATAAAATGTTTATTAATCATCATTACACTATAAAAAATTAAAAATTCATAACTTATCAATCTAAATAGTTTTTAATAAGGAAAAATTATTAAAACATCAATCACTTTTACAATTTAGGGTATTGGCTTCTAAATATCTAAACAAATCAAGATATTTTAATTCTTACCTTAGTTAACTTAATATAAATACTGATTGTTTTACTTACTTTTCAATAAACTTGATTTCACGTCTCTGGTAAAGGGGAGGTGTTTGTACTTACATATTTTATTTGAATTTTTACAAAAATAACTAGACAGATACAAGTATACAATTTTTTTTTTATCAATTGAAAATGTAAAAATGTATTGTATTGTATATGAGACAATTTGACCACATACTTGGTTTACGGTCCAAGAATACAAAATGATAAGATATAAAAGTTATCGATTAATTACTGCCAATTGATCATCGTAGAACACAGTACCATAAACATGAAAAAAAGTCCCCGGATAAAGACTCGAAAAAAAAAGTTTACCGTTACATTGAATTAAAAATTCAAAAATAAATAAATATCTTATAATAATATTATTTAAAAAATATAAAAATTTATTTATTCAGATATAAAATATCACTTTCTTATATTTTGACCTATTCATTTAAAAAAAAAAATAGGAATATCTACAGATTTGTCCTCATTAAAACTGTGTACCGGCTCACTCCTTTTATTTATCCTTGAATGATTCTCCTTATCGCACAATATAATTTTATTTATACTGTAACAGGAGACTTTATTTCCATGACTTTTTTACCGAGGACTTTTTTTCCGTTTACCAGATTATATATTATTTTATATGTCTATGGGTGGAACGCTTATGGATATGTGTAGGGATAGCACGAATATAAATATTAATATGGATCTATATCCATAAGGCATAGTAATAAGTAGGGCTAAGATTTCGATGCACTTTGCATTGTTTTTCAAAGCTTACTGTGTAATGCTCGTCTTGTCACAAATTTGTTTTATGAACATTTGAATGAGAATAATATATTTTTTAGGGCATTTTAGAATTTTTGGAACATTTTTTGAGTTTTTGGAAACCAAGTGCATGAATTTGAAATTTTATTTTAAGATTTTTACATCAACATGGTTTTTAAATAAATATAACAGATTATAAGTAGGTACTCGTAATTCGTATTATATTATCGATTTGTCACCATTATTGGACAATAATCTCTACCCGCATTTCCTGTTAAATAATCTTAAATCGGTAAAATCGACGTCTGATGATATCGTTCGACGTTCAGTACGAGTTTTGTCGTGGTTAACGCCGTTTTATTACTCAGTTTAATTTTTTTTGGTATTTTAATATAAAAATGCCAAAAGTAAAATGTTCGACAACGAGTCGACTGCGTGCGTTTGTACAAGAATTTAGACATAATATTTTTTCTACCGACGGATTGGTGTTATTCTGTAAAATATGCAACGTAAAAGTTACTGCTGAAAAACGATTTGCCGTACAACATTTGTCAAGAGATAAACACATCAATGGAGTAGAACGGAGTAAATTACAAAACGAAAAAAATAATACACAAATTTTTATTACAGACGTACCGAACAGGTCGGAATATTTTTTAGATTTAACTCGTACATTTTTGTCATGTAATATTCCGTTAAATAAACTCGAAAATCCTGCGTTTTCTAAATTTTTGGAAAAATATACCAATAAACAAACGCCTGATCGCTCCACATTACGAAAAAATTACGTCAGTATATGTTACGATGAAACTATACAGATGATTAGGTCATACGTAGAAAATAAAAAATTATGGGTTTCTATCGATGGAACGACGGACGCCAATGGTCGTTATGTTGCCAATGTTATAATAGGTACATTAGAAGTAGGTAACATAGGTAAAATGTTTTTATTAAATTCAGAAGTATTAGAAAAAACCAATCACAGTACAAATGCCAAAGTTTTGGATAAATTTTTATCAATATTATGGCCACAAGGAATAATACACGATAATGTCCTTTTATTTTTAAGTGACGCTGCTCCGTACATGGTAAAAGCAGCCACATCGATTTAAACTTATTATTCGAAAATGATACATGTTACATGCTTGGCGCACGCCTTGCATAGAGTTGCCGAAGAAATAAGAATACATTTTCCAAATGTTGACGAATTGATAAATAACTACAAGAACTTACTGGCAGACAACAGAATATCATTTTTATTTAAAAATCTGAAACAAGCTCTCGTGGTTCAGTGTAACAGTTCAGAATGTACAGGTAAATAAATATACGATCTAAACGTATTAAATAATTTATAAAAATGTTTTTTGTTCAGATTGAACGAAATCCACGTCTATGAGATTAAGTCTATGTGTACAACTTTTTTTTTAGATTTCTACTAAAACTATGTATTTACAGTTTACACTTGTAATAGATTTTTATAATACATTTTTTAAAACTTTTTATTGTAATTTATACTAAAATTATTAAAAATCAAAAAAATTTTAGTTCATAAAAGCATTTTTTTAAGGGCATTTTTTAGATTTTTTTAGGGAATTAGAGTTTTTAGGTCATAAAATCATTTTTTTTAGGACATTTTTCGGGGTTTTTTAGGGCATTAAAATCCCAGCCCTAGTAATAAGGTTGCAGCAGCTGTAGTGCAGCTATGTTAACAGAAAAACGCTAAAAAGAAATTGTATTTAAGTACTATATCAATTTAATTACTTTTTGTATATAATTATTATAAAAACAAATATAAAATGTATATAAACTCAAATTTACTATTATAATTTAGAAATATTTTTGAATTCACCGCAAATTACTGTTATCGTAAACATTTTGAGAATTTTTTCTTATAAGTTTATTAAAATAACAAGATGTATGTACAATCAAACATTTTAAGCTATAGTAGATTTATCTACTTTATTATATCTAATTCCATATTTTAATAAGTAAACAAATAGAATATTTAAATTGGATATTTATTTTTGAATCTTATGAATGTTGATATAGTTTGAGAACCAATTGATTCTTATCAAATGTATATTATATTCCAGAACAATATTATGGTCTGAATACTTATTGATAATGATAATGCATATTCCAATAATAAAAATTAATTATAAAGCACAAATAATTTTTAAAAATTATTTATCTATTTATATTGACTTTAAATACCTACATTTAAAGAAATAAAACTATGGATTTTGAAAAAGTAAAAGAAAAAACTTTCGAGGATGCCTATAAAGGTAATATTGATCAAGTTATGAAAGCAGTTGAAGAACATATGAGATTGTTAAAAGAAGTTGACGTTGTGAGTATTTATATAGCTTTTTAGTTTTACAAATAATACATTTTGAAACAAGCTGATTCAATTAAAAAAAGGTTTTTAATTTTATATTCTTCGTATTCTTCTATTAATTGGTAATTCTTTAATCAACCTTTTATTCATTTGTTTTTTCTTTTATAATAGAATAATCGCTTACTACTTCATTGGGCAGCTCTCGGAGGCCATGATAGACTTGTACGGTATCTTCTTGAAAATGGTCAACCAGAAGATTTTCAGGATGATGTAAATTTGATATTTATTTTAACAATAAGTAATAATAGATTTAATAAAATATTTTATTTCATATAGTTACAGACTACTCCTCTTATATTGGCTGCATCAGCTGGTCGTTTTGACACAGTAAAAACTCTTATAGAATATGGAGTAAATATCAATGCAAAAAACCAAGAAGGACATTCAGCTCTGCAATATGCAGCTTCCAAAGGTTGGACTGAAGTGAGTTAAAATAAATTATTCAAACATATTATTAAAATATACAACAAAATTGTTTAGATTGTTAGATATTTAATATCGAAAGGTGCTGATGTGAATATTGCTGATAATCGTGGAGCTACACCATTACATAGGTGTGCATCAAAAGGCAACATATCAGTACTAAAGCTGTTACTAGATTCTGGTGTACTAGTTGATGCTAAGGATACTTATGGAAATACACCACTGTAAAATTAAATAATTTTATAACTTTTTAAATAACAGCTGAAGAATAATTATTTAAATTGTTTAGTCATTTAGCCTGTGAAGAAGAACGTATACAAGAAGCAGGATTATTAATAAAGAGTGGGGCAGATAGTACATTAATGAACAAAGAAAAATTAACACCTTTTGATCTTGCTCCAGCTGATGTTCAAAGAATTTTGAGAAAAATCTAAATGAAATTCGTAAGACATTTATAATTCCTATAAAAATATAAAAACTTTCAACATCTGGAGTAAATTTTATTATGTCACATTTTTAAATGTATTTCGTATGTTTTCATTAATTTCTTTTTTTTATTATTTTACTATTGTTATTAATATAAAATGCTTTATATCTAATTAATTTTATCTTACATTATAATTGTATCATGTAAAAATTGACCATCAAAATTAATTATAATTTAAAATATTACTTAACTTAAAATTTAGCTCAAGAAGGTACATATTATGATAATAAATATTAATTTGATTCTTCTTTCAGAATGTAGCTGTTTCAAGTCATTAAGGAGTTAAAAATAATAACACCAATAAGTATTTTTAAATTTCAATCTTATGATATAAAATTTTTATAAATTATTATTAAGATTCCATAAAATACATTATTATACTTTACATTTAAGTTTGTGTTAAAATTGAATAAATAGTTAAGCTATACCCACATTTATTGATTATTTTTTTCAGTCTATTGGTAAAATAAATAAAAAGTTTAAGCTGGTAAAATTACATTTAAACATATAATTATACCCAATTATTTTTATGTATTAAGTAAAAATTAAGTAAAATATCAACATTTTGTGTTAAAGTACTTTACAGTTTATTTTTTTTTTTTAATTTAATAATATTTTAATTAATTATTCAGAGGACTTGAATTGACTATTGAATTTAATACTAATTAGAATATAAAATTATCTGATTGCTTTTTTTTTTTTAACAGATAGTTATTTGAATTCTAATTTCAGAGAATCTTAAGATGTCAGCCCAAAATAAAACTTATGCAACGCTCCAGAGATGGGGTTGCGCTCCGTATCGGCGGCTCCGCGACAGACCGTAATCACGCCTGTGTTAGTCGACCGCGTTCCGTGATTTCTGGATAAATTTAATTTTAAATTTGTAGCCTGGCAAATTATTGAAACAAAAATCACCTATCAAAACGCCTCAATTGATGAGTTGTGCTAACAGTTCTAAAAGTTCCACCCAAAAAAGTATCCTACAAAAGTCTTTGCTTAAACTGTCAATAAATTCTACCAAAAGTAGTGGAAAACAAACTCCACTTTTTGAAAGAAATGAAAAAACTAAAAATAAAATAAAACAAGTCAAAACCAAGTCTATCAAAAATATTGAAACCGTGAAACCTTTAAGCCACAGTGAATTGAAAAAGAATATTGATAATTCCAGAATTTTAAAAGAACAAGATGCAAAAATACTCAAAAATATAAAACACTCAAATAGTCCTGGTTCTGGGATTTTTGGTGATATCAACGTTGATAGTTTTGATGACTCTAACGTGAATATGAACGTTATGTTGTTTGCTGGTAAATTAAGTATGGTATCAGAATCTGAAAAATCGAGATGCGAAACACCACCATTGTTTGGTCTTCAATGGAATTCAGGAACCAAGTCTCTAATCATGAGTGAGTCACTAACACCACTCGGCAAGTTAGTCGAAACCAAAGCTGTAAAACGTGTAAAGCTACCCAAAATAACTGTAGACGAAGAAATCAAGAAAATGAAGAGAAATAATAAATCACTTGATTTTAATACCGTCTCCAAGGAAATTAATAAGTTGGTACAGTTTGGAAGACAAGGTAATGTATATTAATTTATATATTTATAATAATTAATGAAAATAAATCTTACATATTTTATTAATCTTCGGTTTTTTTTCATTCTTATTATTTGGATGTTGTAGCTTTTCCCATCACCTGCTATTTAAATAGTTACTAAATGATAATATAGTTTTATTGTAATTTTACATATCTTCAAATCATTATGAATTATCTATGTATATTTAGTAATATTTTTATAACAAGATGCATTGATATGTTAGAAAAAAAATAAATATCAGGAAGAAAATTTACCGGGTATTTGGTGACTCAGAACTTCTACATTTCTTACAGCGAGTGAATATTTTTTAATACTACTAATTGTGAATGTGTACAAGATGTATGTGTAATAGAGGTTGGCTGGTCGCGGCTGAACGAATCAAAATGAACGAGTCAATCGAATGGCCGAATCGCAACTGAATAATGTACTCGGGCACAAATCTGTCAAATGACCGAATGATGTAATTGGTCCAATCAATCTTTAGGACTTGACGGTTTTAAATTAATATTTTCTTTCAATCCTGATAGGACTAATAGTATATTGTGACTGACTTAAACCAAATTAAAATTTTGATTTTTCGTACGTATGGTAACACTCAGTGGCGTATATAGAAACTATTTTCGGGAGGACACATTATGGACATTTAAATTACCATTGCTATCTAAGAATTACTAAAAAGACACAGTAGGTACTTATCTACATTTAATTTACAAAATGTCCCAAAATGATTTGACGTTGGGCGCAAATTTTAAATAAGCATAAAGCACCATTAAAATATAACATACGTTTAAAATAATTTTTAAGTTTTTTAAAACATTTCGGGGGGGGGGGCTGTAGCCCACTAGGCACACCCCTATATACGCCCCTGGTAGTATTGTCTACGACTCATTTTCTGTTTACGTGTTCGCGCTTTAGTATATTCTATATCTTGATGGTTTAACTACAACGTTTTAGTGGAGTGGTTGGTGTGAACCACTCATAAAAATGACTCACAGAAGCAGGCCCCTACAAATGGGAGGGAGGGTGTCAGTGAGGTCTATGGTCCCGGGGTCCGTACAAATAACATAATTTATTACGTCTTTTATTATATTATTTATTTATTGTTGTTTCAACATTAAACATTTATTATTATTATAACGATCGATGTAGTGACACGTAAAATGTATGCTATGTATAGAGATACAAACGAATACGAGTAGTTCTATGAACAATTATTGCTTATGAAATATTAATAGCATGAAGTATTAGATAACCGATCGGTACTTCAGTAATCAAAGAACATATAATTACAGAAAAATGGAAATTTATCCTAAAAAGACTTCTTGATGTAACTTCATTTCTAGCTTCTAGAGAATTGCTTTTTCGAGGCAGTAGCACTAAAATTGGTGACGTAAATAATGGTAACTTTCTTAGGGTATTAGAACTTCTTGGACATTAAAATGAAACGATAAAGTAACTAGAAAACATTTGACATAAACTCGTATACATAAATATCATTGTGAAGGTGAAAGTATGCAAGGAAAAGCGCATTACAAGTATTTGTCTTAGTCAAAATGAGTTTATTTCCCTTTTTGTAGATAAGGTTTTAAAACATATTCTTGACGAACAAACTAAATTAGCAGGTATATTTTAGTATTATTGCTGATGTTTCGCACCAAGAACAGAATGTGATAATTTCAAGATATGTTTTGCGCAACGGGGAGGCAAAACAATTAAAATTAAAGAAATTAAACAAAGGTTGGTTGAGTTTTTAAATCTCAATGAAAAAACCAGTTTTCTACTTGGCAACATTAAAGAAGGGAAAAATTTAAAAATTTAAAAAAAAAAAATTGCGTCCTCAAAACTTGTTAAGCGTTATAATATTATAAGCGTACATAATTACAAATCATTCAAAAGACTTAAATTTAAATAAATCAACCTGGACGTCATTAGCTACTTTCATTAATCTATTAATAGGAGAACCAAGTGCATAATTTGTTCTTTGAAATGGAATGTAAAAAGTTTTGGCAGATCTAGTTCAACAATGTGGAACATTAAATTTTAGACAGCTAAGTAGTTCAGGACAGTTTAAATGACCATTAACTAATTTAAAAAGAAACTTCAAATCAATAGTTTTTCTTCTTTCAGCAAGACAGGTCATATTTAGTTTCATTAATAACGGTGTATAATTTGAGTGTGGTTGACGAGGGATATTACATTTGTACGAAATGAATCGAAAAAATCGATTTTGAATAGCTTCAAGGCTTTGTATATGAATAACGCTAGAGGGTGACCATACGACTTAGTTGTATTCTAAAGTAGAACGCACTAGAGAGGAATAAAGAATTTTTAAGGCATCAGAGTTAGTAAGATTATTACAAGTCCTGTTTATGAAACCTAATGTAGAGGAGGCTTTTTTAGCAATATTTAAGTAATGCTCGTTGAATGAAAGGGTAGAATCAAAATTAACGCCCAAATCGCAAGTTTCAAAAACGCGTTGAAGTACAATATTGTCTATGGTATAATCATTTATAATTAGAGAGCAAGATCTGGTAAAAGACATTACTTTGCACTTATCAATATTTATTGGTAATTTATTTTTATTACACCACACAGATTGTAGCGGCCTAACAAATAAAATTGCGACAAATTTATTATTGTTCACCGGCCGAACATCGATTACGCAACGTCGACGTGCACGACAACGATAAGCGCTTTATCTCAGTCCTCCTTCCAAATGCATTTATGATTTGCTATTATGATAATTAATTTAATAATAATTTACGTGCGGACGGGTTGTTGTGGTTCGGCGACGTGATCGACGAGAGCGAACATTTTTGTCGTGGTATTATGTGGTTGTAATATTTTTTCTTTTTCACGCGCACGCATAAAGCACTCACTTTTCCTATTTATCAATTATTATTATATGCTGTATATTATGTTAATGTGAATTGTTTTTTATATTATTATTATTGTTGTTTGTATGTGTGAGTTGTTTCATTATATAGGTTTTGGTTGCAGCTGGCCAGGTGTACACCGCATTCTGTTCAAACTGTGAGTTTTATTTTAATCAATTTTTGTTTGTATTATTATACCTATTATTTATTATTTATCAAATTTAATTTGTGACCAACAGGCACATATTTATATTCAGTTACCACACATTTTCACCACACATTTACAATTATTACATCATTCATATTTATACTTAGTCACCACACATTTACATTTATTATATCATTCAAATTTAGTTACCATACATATTTTTACTGTATTATATTATTTATTCTCACAGATTATTATAATCCATTAAAGAAACCGCATCGACACGTTATTATTATTATTATAATTATTATTATTATTATTATCATATCAATAAAATTAGGTTGTTGTCATATACTTGTTCTCCATTTCCTCATTCTCATACCCTAATTAATTCCAGACAAGCGCAGGCGATCCCTCCCTTGTCTGGGGCAATTGATATAGGTACTTTCCAATTTCCGGTCATTTATAATATACAGTCCACTCAACTATTTTAGGTGCCGAGGTAAGCGGCATATTGTTTTCCGCACTCGCACGTACACAGATAGTGCAATTAAATCATTTTGAAGGAGAACTGCTTTATATTGTTGATTAGACACTGCTATGACACGTTAAGTTGAACAAAATAGGCAATAGTTAATTCCTATTATTGAAACCATACTATTTTTTTGGCCTACAAAATATATCCTTACGCGATCCTATGACCGATGATGGTTCTATATATTCTGGTGATGACG